TGTTTCGCATCAGGGCGGAATAAATACAAGTTATCAACGTACGACCTTTGCAAGGGCACATAGCACAATATGCCTGATGAGCCGCTTAACCAACAGCGAAACGCGTCGCATAATGGTGGGTACGCTGGTTCTTCTCCTGGCTTTCCTTTTCATTTTGTAAATAGTATAAATAATCACTTTTCAGATTTTGTAAAATTCAAATCAAATAATTTTCATTGTTTACGGATATTTCTTCAAGGACTAAAAATAGCACTTTTCAGTTTTGTTTCCAGGGCATCAAAAGAAAATAGTGGTTCTGAATTTTTAACAATATTTTCCCAAGGACTATCAGGATCATAATCGTATACATTTTATAAAACATTTCAAATCAAATTTAATATTCCATTATACCAGAATTCTCCTGCAGAAATGCATTTCTTCACATTAAAGAATATTTCATCTTAACAACACACAACTGCACATTGAAATCCGAATATGTATATAAATTTAACGAAGCGGTAGTTCGTGTTTTTCTTTTTCCTTCATTAATATGTTCGTTGTCGGCTGTCATCGGTGCTGTGGCTGCTGCTGCTGGTGGTGTTTCGGCTAGATTTTTCTGTTGGTGCTGCTGCAACTGCTGAATCATTGTGAAAAACTAGGACGGTGACCTGACGTTCGGGTTTTTTTTCTTGAGTTCTCTACTGACGTCATGAATGAACTCATTCATGTCAGCAGTGTAGTTTTGTGATATTGGCCGTTTCGGTGTTGTTGTACAACAACAACTGCTGTTGGCATTTCAGCTAACAACTTTTTTGTTTATAAAAGTATGCTCTCGCTTTCTCCTTCTGCCCTGCTCCAAATGTTTATGTTGCCGCTTTGTTCTAATTGTTTTTGTTGTTGCTAGTGCATTTCCGTTTTCTCCACCCTTGAGCTTTCTTCTTCCCTCTCGTGTTCTCTCTCTATATATGTAATGTGACAAAGTGCAGCAACCCAACGACATTCAAACTGTAATGCATACAACAACCATACAAACAAACAACAACAGCAAAAAAAGTTGATTGAAAATGCTTTCAATTCAGACGGACAAACTGAATGAACGCTGAGGACGGAATATGTTGTTGGGTGTTTGTGTGTGCGACAGGGCTTTGGATGCGTATTGTGTATGTGCGAGTTTCTTCTTTTTTTTTTTGTTTGTCGTCACAAGTTTAGTGTCATTTATTCATGGTTGTTCCATTTATAGCTTGAGGATATTAGCGTTTTTAACTGAATTTTGGTTGCCAGAACTGAAGAAGTGTTCTTCGTTGTTGTTGCTCGATTTTTTTCTTTTTGTGTTCTTTTGTATGGCATATTATTGTTCTCCCTCTCACTGTGTTTTATCAGTTGAGTGGTGAGCTATTGCTTTTCTTTACAACAAAAATGCCAGTTGTCGTTGTTTTTCGATGCTGCTGATGATGCTGTTGGAGATGAAGGATGATAATGATGACGCCGATGACGCTGACGACTACGACGATGATACTTCAGCTGTCGAAGGAGAGATCTGTTAAATTTTTTGAGGTCAATTGGGGAAATGTTGTTTTTGCTTTTTTCATGGATAATTAGTCAGGAAAAAACCACACATATGTATATATGTATGTACATTGGTTGGTTATAAGAGTGTGAGATTGATTGAATTTATAGTTGTAATTGGTTGCTGTTGTTGTTTGGCAATCAAATGCTGTGGTTAAAGCATAACAATGGTAAAGCTAGCTGTAGCTTAATTAAATCTCATAACTGGTATCAGTCAATCAGATTCAGGTTCTATTAATAGATTGCAGAGTTGATAGAGTCAAGTGTTTGTTTTTTTGGCTTTTCAAATTCGGAAAATTAATTGTCACTAAAAATGGGATTGTTTAAAATATTTGCATCAAGAAACGTCAGAGCTATAGGTTGGGATTTTTCAGAGTTATATGAGTTGATTTTTTTATATTAGTTTTACAACGACCATCGGATCTATAGGTGCGGATTTTTCAGTAGATTTTTACAAGGACCAACAGATAACAAGGGGCGGACTTTGTTTAAAAATTATTTGAAGGACAAATGTACCATTAGGCCTGGTGTTTTAGAGAATATTTATCAGAGACCAACAGACCACTAGGCCAGGATTAAAAAAAAATTGATTTTATATATTGAATCTTATCTAAGATATAAAGGGATTATTGTCATATCCAATATATGTGAGAATTTGATAGGTGTAGTTTTAAAAAATATTTTCTCAAAGACCATCAGAGCTTTAGGCGTAGATTTGTTAGATTTTTTAATAATATTTTTTAAGGACCAACACACTAATAGGCTTGAAATTTTTAAAAAATGCTTTTCAAGGACCAACAGACTATAAAGCATGCATTTTTTTAAAAACATTTTTTGGGACAATTTTTTAAGGACAAATATTTTTAGAGGACAACGTCTAGTGGCGTTGATTTTTTAAAGAATATTTTTCAATGACCAATAAGACGTGAATTGTTTAAGGAATACTTTTCAAGGATAAATCAGACGTGGGTTTTTAAAGAATATCTTTGAATGACGAATAAGTCGTAAATGTTTTAATAAATATTTTTTCAAGGACCAATAAGTAGTGGTACCAACAGACTACTAGGCGCGGATTTTTTAAAGAATGGATACCATTAGACATGGTTTAAAAAAAAAAAAAAAGATTTTAAAAAGGACTATCGGAGCTATAGCTATGGCTTACAAATATAATCATATCTAACGGGTATTTTTCAAGAATATTTTCTCATCAGAGTTTTAGGTGTGGATTTTTTGGAATATTTTCTCAAGGACCATTAGAACTTTAGGCATGGATTTTTTATGGGATATGTTTCCAAGGACCAACAGAAGTGCATTTTAAAGTTTTTTTCAATGGCCAATATTGTTTTTTTTTTAAAAAATATTTTTCCAAAGACCAACAGAACATTAGGCAGGGTTTTTTATAACCCTTTTGTCAAAAAAAATTTTGTCGGAATAAAAATCAGAGATTTTTTTAAAATCATTGAAGGCACAAAGTTTAGAAAAAAAATCAACTTTTTTTTAACGATTTTTTAAAGACTATCTTTCAGCAAAAACAGACAGCAATTGTAACGGTACATTTTTAACGAAAAATTGCAAAGAAAGAGAGTAATTTTAAATGGAATATACAGACAAAAACACCGAATTTTTTAAAGAATATTTTTCCAAGGACCAACAGACCGCTAGGCGTGGATTTTTTAAGAATAATTTTTCAAGGACCAACAGACCACTAGGCGTAGATTGTTAAAGAATATTTTTCCAAGGACCAACAGACCACTTGGCGCCGATTTTTTTAAAGAATATTTTTCCAAGGACCAACAGACCACTTGGCGTAGATTGTTAAAGAATATTTTTCCAAGGACAAACAGACCACTAGGTAACGATTTTTTTAAAGAATATTTTTCCAAAGACCAACAGACCACTAGGCATAGATTGTTAAATAATATTTTTTCAAGGACCAACAGACCATTAGGCATTAGGGAATTTTTTCAATGAATATTTTTTCAAGGACTTCCATGCCCAAAGCTCTATGGACCATTAGAGCTTTAGGCATGGATTTTTTATAGAATATTTTTCCAAGGACCAACAGAACACTAGACGTGAATTTTTTGAAGAATGTTTTTTCAAGAGGCAATATTGAGTGGATTTTTTAAAAAATATTTTTCCAAGGACCAACAGACCATTAGGCAGCGATTTTTAAATGAATATTTTTCAAGGACCAACAGATCATTAGGAAGGGATTTTTTAATGAGTATTTTTCCAAGGACCAACATACAACTAGGCGCCGATTTTTTAAAGACTATTTTCCAAGGACCAACAGACCGCTAAGCGTAGATTTTTAACAGACCGCTAGGCGTGGATTTTTCCAAGGACAAACAGACCACTAGGCACCGATTTTTGTAAAGAATATTTTTCCAAGGACCAACAGACCGCTAGGCGTGGGTTTTTAAAGAATATTTTTCCAAGGACAAACAGACCACTTGGAAACGTTTTTTTTAATGAATATTTTTCCAAGGACCAACAGACCACTAGGCGTAGTTTCTTAACGAATATTTTTCCAAGGACAAACAGACCACTTGGCAACGTTTTTTTTTAAAGAATATTTTTCCAGGCATTAGGGGATTTTTTCAATGAATATTTTTTCAAGGACTTCCTGATCATTAGGCGTGGATTTTTTAAAAAAAATATTTTTCCAAGGACCAACAGATCATTAGGTGTGGATTTTCAAAAATTATTTTTCCAAGGACCAACAAACCATTAGGCGAGGATTTTCTAGGACCAAGAAGGACAAACAAACCATTAGGCGTGGATTTTCTAGGACCAAGAAGGACAAACAAACCATTAGACGTGGATTTTCTAGGACCAAGAAGGACCAACAAACAATTAGGCGAGGATTTTTTACAGTTTTGTTTTTTCTCAAGGACCAACGAATTTTTTTAAGGACCAAACGATCAATAGGTGTAGATTTTAATGTATATTTTTTCAAGGACTAAATACCATTAGTCTTGGAATTTTTAAATAATATTATTGAAGTACTAGCAGATCAAATATTTTTTAAGGACCAGCACTTCAAGAAGATCGTATTTTTAAAAACTTTTTAATGTCTAGCATTGAAAAACCATGGACTTTTTATTCTGAAATATGTTTTCAAAGATGCGTAGATTTGTTAACATTTTTTCAAAATTTATCGGGATTTTTGAGAATATGTTTCCATAGGACTACAGCGCAAATAAGATGATTTTTTACAGGACAGCAGGGTCTGACTGTGGGATTTTTAAAAAAATATTTTTCGACGACTTGCCGACAAATGAGTGTGGATATTTAAAGAATAATTGTCCATGAACTATAATTATAATTTAAACAATTTCATGTGAAACATATAACCTTCGAGTATCGACTTAAAAAAATAATATATTTCAATTGTTATCTATTTAAATATAAAAATTTGTACTAATTATTTATTGTTTATTTATTTACAGTATGTAACTTTATAATACATGAACGATGTGTCACAAATGTTGTGACTCCTTGCTCTGGCATTGCACCCTGTATTATTAAGGTAAATATAATCATATAGCGGAAATATTTGCAATTTTTATATACTTAGAAATATATTAAATAAAAAATTATGCTTTTATAGAATCCCGTGGCTCATTGTTGGTCGGAACCCACACAACATAAAAAGAAATTCTGCACAGTATGTCGCAAACGTATGGATGATACACCTTCTGTACATTGCATAGGTAAATATTAACAGGGTTTTAATGCATTTTTAATTATTTATTTTAAATATGATGTTTTATTTGTTTTGTCTTTGCTAGTTTGTGAATATTATGCACATCTCGAGTGCCAAGATTTCGCTGTACCCGATTGTACAGAAAATGCCACCTATGTACCCGGCAAGGAGCTATTAAATGTAAAGCATCAAGTAAGTTTTCAATTTTAGTTTTGGACATTTTTAAAGAATGCTAATAATAAAATGAATATTTTCTTCACAGCATCATTGGCGAGAAGGCAATCTACCATCAAATTCAAAATGTGTTTACTGCAAAAAGACCTGTTGGTCATCCGAATGTCTAACAGGTAAGTTTAAATATTTACAAAACAATTGAATTAGAATTTGATAAAGTTAGTTTTGAATATCAAATTTTTGGAAAATTCAAAACTATATTGTTAGGCTTTTATAGAATTGTGCTACCTTAAATTTCGAAAATTTGTTCTTAAACTCACATTTAAGCATACCGATTAAATTTTAGTGTAGCGATAATTTCAGAAATAACAGAATATATATAGCTATTTTATTTATCTGTTTGTCCATTATAAATTGTATTCAAAGTATAGGTCGAGTATACCGACTCAAGGACTACACCAATTTAATTATTTTTTCAAAAATGATTAACCCTTGGCTATACAATAGACTCTAAGTTTTTTTGGCGAGAACCCACGGGCGGGATTTCTAAGATGTAGCGGTGCAGAATTATAAACTGACAATATCTCGCTCAACTCCCGTATTATTTGGTAGCCGCTAGAACATAAAATGAATCGTTCCATTATACAAGCAAAAGGTAGCTCAATCGTCATAAAATATGTTATGGGATTTCAAAGAACAAGAGCGACTTCACTCGAAAATTAGAAAAATGGCAGAAATAGGAAAATTAATGTTTGGAAAATTACCCACTTTCGGCCAAAAAACAAACTGGAAAGTAGGAAGATATTGACCGTTTACATTTACCACTGTTCATACGACAGCAACTTAGGTCCAGAATAACGTCTTAAAATTTGAAGCGGATTGGATTATTAGTCTTTGAGTTATAGTGCCGCGATTCGTAAAAAGGCCTTTGTTTTTAAAAATCGAGTTTAAAGTTTGAGAATCACTCATGCCGTTGTTGGATGTTGACACAATAAATCGGCCATACCTTTAAGAGTAGTTGAGATTTTCCGCATGGTCATAAGACTTCTCTCAGTTAGGAAAATTTTTTCTCAGTGTGGATTTTGTAATTAATATTTTTTCAAAGTAACTGTCCGTCAAGGGCCCTAGCGAAATTTTTAATCTGAGTCTGCAATTTGGTATTTCATTTTCTCAGGGGATAAAAAATTATTGTAGCAACAATTTACCATGTCATAGGATCCATCATAAACGTCCCGATCGATGTTAGGTATTTTGAATGTCCGTCATAAAATTTTCGGTCCGGCGGAATTTTTCTTAGGACTATAATACCAATAAAAGTTGATTAAAAAAGAGTAGATTTTTATACCCTCAGCCTTATGGTTAATGAGGGTATATACACTTTAATACGGAAAAATGTGGCTCATAGAAATATTAATTTTAGACCTCATGTTTCTTTAGACCAAATCCATTTCAGACAATTTGAAGTCTGTCTGATCGGCTAGTGCACACGTTTTTGAAGATGGAGACTTATCGGTCCACTCCTTGTAGTACCTCCTCAACAAAGTTCAAAATTTTAAAATTTGTAAATCTCATATGAAGCGAACAGAATATTAAATTTCATCGAAACTTTAACCTACCTACATTAAACACGTGGGGGTTCTATAGGGCAACCTCTCCTGGTACATCCCCATAGATGGCCACATTTTTGATTAAAATGTATAACCTTATAAAAATCGGATAAAAAACCTGTGGTAATTTCGCATACTATAGCAAACCATAGACTGGGGTATATATCTGTGGCAACACTAACTAACACGCTTTTCCTAGTTTAACGACGTTTTCCCAATGACATGGAGATTAATTAGCTGGTATATTTCATACATATTTTCCCAATGCTTCTGCAAGATTTGTTAAAAATATTTTGCCATGACAGATATGCCATTAAGTGTGGATAATTTAAAATTATTTTCCTAGAAACTTTATAAGATGTTTTTAGGATTTTTTTTTTTCAAAATCAATCGATAATCCATGTTGGATTATACTTTCTTTGATTACTATTTTCGGGCCTGAAAAAAATCATAACAAAATATTTTCCTCGTGCAGAAGAAATAATAATTTCATTATCTTTACTATTGATTTTATTCTAATTTTTATTTTTTCAGGCTATCGCTGCGAATGGTGTGGTCTGGTCACACACGCTGGATGTCGCATGTACCTGCCAACCGAATGTACATTCGGTTGTTTACAACCGATCTATTTACCTCCGCATTGTGTTTCAATACCGCGTACCGAGGTGCCAATTAAAGAAATAATGGGTGTTCGAAAAACCGAATCCGAATCGAATTTAGTTCGCGACTATTCATGCCGTAAGTACAAAGCAAAACATTACAAATCAGTTTCCAAAAAATAAAGAAAAATGTCACAGCAAAACCAAAAAAAAACTATGCCCATAAATGTAAACTCAAAAGATGTTGTAATAATTTTGTATATGGTGCAAAAAAATTGGAAAAATAGAACTTTGCATTTAACTTCCTTTGTTGTTTTTCATTTCATTCATGAAATCCCTCGCAAAAAAAACCCGATTCCATTTAAATTCATTCATCATCGCATCGCGTTGACACCTCAAATTGACATATCCCCAACAACATTTCCTCAATTCATTCGATTCAATCGATCGATAATGGATTGAAGTTTGACAGCTTGACAAGTAGTTGTTGTGCGCCATGTCTTTCTCTACTTATTTTGTATTCTATGTAACTAGGTGTATGTGTGTGCGTGTGAGCGCAAGTATGTGTGTATTTATGTTTGTTGTTTTCGTTGTTGTATATCATTTCCCACAAAAAAAAAAAAAAATGTCATCTATAAAATTCCATTGCTGAAAAATTCACTTTTTTCATATTCATTGCATTTTCACTTCCATGAGAAAACAAATCATTTTGCAACCACCAACAAAAACAACAACTACAACGACATTTTTATTTCATTTTTTGCTTTAAATAAAAAACATACACTTTCATGCAAATATTCATTCCATTACAATATTGAGTTCTCCACACACCGATAAGTCAGCAACAAGTAATAATTAAAAAAATATCATCCATTACCAGCACACCACATACCTACATACATCCATATGCAGCAGCAAAATATTCGAAATTTAGTTTGCTTTTACATTTTATTTATTTATTTTTGATATTGTATTTTTATTTATTTAAATAATTTTTTTGAAAAGAAAATATTTTATTTTTATTATAATAAAATATGAGACACTGTTTTTGATAGGCCAAACCATTTGAACGCAGATCACTTATTTTTCGGGGCCAATATTTATATTGGTCCTCCACCAAACATCACTCATCCAAACATCACTCACAATTTTTCGTGGAAGCGAATCTGGTCAACGAATAGGCATGTTGTCATTAACGATTATCATTAAACATTCATTTTAAGGGGTGTCTGTGTACTCTGGGCAGACATAGTCCCGAGAAGTTTTTAGTGTATCCAGGAGGAGTTGTTGAACTTTCGTCCGACAATACAGCTTTTTTTACTGATTTTCACTTATATGTAGAATACAGTCCGAATGCATTCAATGATATGGGACCTTCTTTGTTTAACCATATCAATATCGCGTGCCGATCAAATTATGACAATAATAATTAATTACAGAAATGTTATTATTTAGCCGAAAGGCTACTGATATATACACTTCGATATAAAACGAGCCTCGAAATATCGGTTTCAGACAATGTCCGTCCGTCTGCCTGCAACAGGCAACATTTTGAACAATTTTTAAATATCTTATGAAACTAATGGATCTATTTTTACCCAAATTTTCATATCGTAAATCTGGAGATTGGATATACTACTTCAGTACACTCCGTAGTTGAGACCTGGTACTTCCCATACAAAGAGTCAACCAAACGGATTTTCCGATTTGCAATCGCAATATTTCTACCAAATCCACATTCGTGGGTATAGTAAAAATTTACCACATAAATGTCCCAATAATATTTATAAGTTTTGGTAAGAATTTATGTGGCGAATAAAGAAAATCATCCTCAAAATAACGAAAAATAGGGGGTACCATCATATGTGGACTATACCGCATCGTAGACCAATTTTTGTGATTATTAGTCAGAAGGATTTACCATCGAATGGCAACTAAAGTGTTTGAAAAATTGTCTGAAATTCTCAAAATATTGCAAATTGTAGGTACGGTTATGGATCGATATCATGGGGCGATCAAATTAGACCAAAAATATCAATTTAGAGCCAATTCTGTAGGAAAACTTAACCCATAATCGCAAAATACCGAAATTTGGAACGCTTACCCCGAGACTTGGGCCAATATTGATCGTTTTAGCTAGGGAGAATCCAAAATGCAAAATTACAACTAACTCGAATTATACCCAATTATATGAAGGCTAACCAATTTTGGTAGGAAAATCGGTAAAAATCCCCAAAATTCCGAGTAGTACCAATGTATGAGCAAAATATCGAAGCTCTATTTTAAATAGCTTAATGGGCCATCTTTGGCCAAAACCAGGAGGATTGGCCCATTACGGTGGCCTGTATCGTATTTACAAATTATAATGTACTATTTGAGATATGACGATCTGTATACTAAAAGGTGGGTCTAGGACCAATATTTCACGGCGTTACAAACTCTTGGAGCCGCACAAAGTTATAATACCCTACAACATAGTTATGTAGGGTATATAAATGTCATGTCGTATATAGCCATATACTTTGGGAAATGAGGATAGGCCTATTGGAGCAGATGGTACTCGTATTATGAAAGACCTTATCATAAAAATAGACCCTATACTTGACTGAGAGGCATTCCATAGAAGTACTCTCATTGAATACAAATACATTTAAAATAGAATACCGGAAGTGGTTATCTATAGAAAACCACATTGTATTTTCATAAAATATCAAAATCATTCATCGTCGTTACAAGAAATATGCCCGCTTTTTCCAACGACGACGATCGAAACGCAACAATAACTCATCGGGCGCCGGTGGTGGAGAAGTGGAAAGCCCTTTCAAAGAAGACTATAATGACTTCTTTATTGAAGTCGAGAAGATCTTATTAATGGAAAATTAGGAGATGTGCTTCCTTGGAAGATCAGAAAGTCTTTTCATAGAGATCCAAGAAGTTTGCCATTAGAAGGCCTTTAAAATTCTGAGGTCTTCTCATAGAGTACCAGAAGAACTACTTGTAGAATACCATAGACGATCAGAAGGTTATTATTACAATATATCCCAAGCTCTTCTTTATAGTAGATCATAAAGTCTTTTCTATAGATCAGAAGTCAGATATGTTATTTATTTAAGACCAGTGGGTCGTATTCTTATATCCAAATAAGGTCATATGATAACAATTATAATACCTACGATCATCGATCTATCATCACTGATGACCATCGGGGCGCTGCCCGCGAAAATAATGATGACTAAATTCTCAAAGATGGACGATTCAGACGCAATAATCATTAGGGATTATTCCTTTTTATTTATCTCATTATACAGTAGGATCTGTATTCAACCATTATGTCTTCTTTATTGAAGGAGATATGTTTTTAGAGGGTCATAAAATATTATTTTTGGCAAACAGAATGGTTTTTAGAAAATGCCACAAAAAGCCACAACAATTATAGCTCTGATACCAGTTATCAAAATATTGAAATTACCATACAGGATGAGGATGGTAAATTTCGGCCATATCACATCTATTATGACACCTACCATCGACAGCGCAGTAATGACCATCTGGTCGTTGCCGACAAAGATGATAATGAATATATTCTAAAGTATTATTTCCAGATGCTGGGTAGACGTCTGGGACCCAATAATCATGAGGGATTATTTTTTTATTGACCCCCTTATAAAGTAGGACCTGCATTCAAATGGTGTCTCCTTAACGATCCTTTTAAATATTATAATTTTTTTAATCTTATACATAATATTATATACATATTTATTTTATTTTTTTTATAAAACAATTTTTGTTTTTGGTTTTTTATTCTATATACAATTTTTATTTACTTTACATTATTTTGCTTTCCAAAAAAAAAAAAAAAAAAAAAAAACATCCCGACTTCTTCTAATTCATCCCTAAATAAAAAACAAACAAAAAATATGTAAATGTAATGTGTATCCGCCTAGAAGGTTATAATAACGACGATGTTGAATGTGCTGAATTAGCTGCAGCTGCTGCTGATGTTACTTCATCGATTACAGCAGATGAAAATGTAATCGGAAATGTCGTGGCAACTTCGTCGTCCATGAGCGGCAATGCTTTAACCCTAAAAGAGCTTTTATTATTGCAAAGACAACGTTTAGAACAATCAAAACAAAATTTTTTTCTTTCCTCTTCACCCTCGTCATCGTATGCGCCATCGCCAATACCCACGATAGCCGATGAAAGTTCGACTCTAACACAGATTGCAGTGGAGGGAATCAATGATGAAGATGCGGAAAATTGTGCGGAAAATGGTACGAAACGTGTTGTAGAGGAGGAGAAGGAGCAGCAGCAGCAAACAAATGAAAATGAGAATATTAAAGATCTGTTAGCAGTTAATCAAAAAGTGGCCTCGAAAGGGAATCGAAATAAACGCTCTCAAAAGAATATTGAAAAATCCCCATCGACATCATCATCGTTGCATTTATTTTATACGAATATAGTGAATAAGATACCATATCCTGGCGGGGGAGGAGGAGGAGGTGGTGGCAGAAGTGGCCGCAAACATCTCTCCTCCAACACCGATGATGATGAGGTAGATGGTGGGGTGTGTGATGTCAGTGGTGGCGATATCAGTGATGATTATGACCCGAGTGATGCCGATCCCAACAGCCGGCGGTTACGTGAGCCGAAAACCACCGAAGTATTAAGTGACGAGAGCAGTGGCCGTGGTGGCCAACAGCTGACCCCAGGCACCGGTACGGGCAGTGATATTGAATATCATGGCGATATCGAAGGCGAATCAACGCACCACGAAGGTTTCTATGAAACCTCCGACACGGGCGGCGAACTGACCAATACCGATGATATTGATATTGATTCGAGCATGAATCTGCTTAGCAATTTAAGTTGTAACAGTAGTAATAGTAATACCTCCATAGAGAAACGTATTAGTTTAAATAGACATAGAAATGCGCACAATCTCCAGCTGTCCGCGGCGATGGGCTTTACACCGGGCACACCGAGTAGGCCCAAGCGCAGCACAGCCAACACTGCCTTAGGTGCGTTTGAGAGTACGAAACAAAAGACTGCAGCCAAGCCTATACCGGCCCCCGGTAGGGGTCAACATCGTAATCCGGCACTGAGTTCGCCGAATTCCAGTGACTGTTCATCCGCCTC